TGGAGAAATGAAATAAAAAATAAATTTATCAAGACTCACTCGCCACCCTCTAAAATAATTGACGGATCCCATAAATCCAATTCACCATTTTCCATCCCACCGGCAATAATTCCATAAGGTTTATCAGCAGCAATCCCCCATGCTAAACGATCAAATCTATAATCAAATATATACAAAAAATTATGTACTATATCATATTTCAACAATCAAAACTTCAAAATCAATAACAGTAATAAAGTATGAACCTTGCATTACTGGTAACTAAGCCAGAAGGTTGTTGTAAATTAAAACTTGAATCATTTTGATCTAAATTAAGGTGAAAAAGTTCTAATTCTGTTGTATTTGAAAAGGAAGCATCAAGAGCACCAGCTACGGTTCCAGTTGCAATTATAGGAGAATTTTGGCCAGGACTCCAAGCAAAGGTAGCTGTACGCGATATTTCTTTTAATTTCATCTTTTAATTTTTATTAGAATTTAGTTTTTTTTTTCAAAAAAAAATTTTAAAATATGGTAGATCAATCAATAAGAAGATAAACGTGGCAAGAATGAATTTGACGAAGGGTAATTGGCCTATTAATTTCATATAGGAAAGATTTTCAATAAATATTACGTAAATTCAAATACATAAGTAAACTCGACAAGTCGCCAAAATTTTTCAGCCCTTTTTTTCAATACTTAAAAATCTCCGATAAGTCGGTCAATCTATATAAAATCGCGATAAGCTGTAAGTCGGCCAACCCTTATTCTAGAATATATTAGATATGTAAATTACCCTCGATAAGTCGGTCTCGTATGATATTTGCATTGAGTGAAAGGTCATCATTACTATTTTTAGTAACGTGTAATTATGAAGAAAAGAAAATTGTAAGGGAAATAATTTATTGCCTAACTTAATATTTTAATAATAACATCTTCAAAAGGTTCCAGAACCCACTTAACAATGCTGTTAAGATTGAGAAAAAACTTTGTGAAGATTAAATCGTTCTAATAGAAGCTTGATATTTGAAGTAATTCCAAGCGTCTAAAAGAGTTAGAGGCCACAAAATTTATTTACACGTGATTAAAATTAGAAGCCTGATGTGAGGCGAGGACTTATTATACAGAGAAAAATGCAATAGCCTGAAATTTACAGGCGCAATAATATAGTATAGTCAAATAAAATGGTTAATTAAAAGAACAGAAATTAATAACAAACATGTAAGAAATAAAGCTCTACCAAGTTTCTTTCCTAATTCATAATTCCTGTATTAAAAACTATATTATTATTTTTTTTTTGGAGTTAATGTCGTTCGTCAATAGTAAATAATTCTTTTGGGTTCGTTTGTAATGCAACCTTTTTTACTTCCTTTACAATGCTAAGGACATCGATTATATCATTCTGTAGTCATTAAAAGAAATAATTAGAGAAATAAACCTGCTAATTGTGAACAAATAAAGACATACCTTTAAACGCAGTACATTTTTTAAAATCACAAGGCTTTCTGGAACACTTCCCCATGTTGTTACAATTCGATATTGACACGTTTCAAGCACGAAATAATATTTAAGGTCCGCATCATAATACATGACATACATTCTTCCATTAAAACCTTTGTTGAATGTGTGAAATTAGTTTCAACTATACAAAGAAACATTTGGTACAAGTTTTTTCCATAGTTATCTCCATGAGTTATTCCATGTAGAACAATATTCTTCACTTTTTTTATCGATTCCTTCGTGAATTTCAACTTCTTCAGTATACGGTCTAACTGATCTTTCATTTCTCGAAATAATTTTTGTTTGTATGAAATTGGTTTCGAATTTTGAGGGTCTTCATATTAATGTGTAATGTTCCTAACCGAAAATCGAATATTCGGAAATCGATTTGTTCAAGGATATTTGAATATATATAATTTATTTCATAATTATTTTTGGATACTCGTAATTATTTTGAATATTCATAATCATTTCAAGCAATATTTGATAATTCACAAATGATTATCGATTGGTAACAAATAGGACCAATTTATTTGTAACTTATCCTATTATAATAAACATTTTTCAAAGATAATAAAGATAACTTATATTTTTACAACAATTAAAATATTTGTTCAGAAAACATTTTCATTTAAAAAGCAATTCCTTCAAAACCAAATGGAATTTATAGAAAATTTTCTCCTAATACTTTAGGAACTACCAATTGTATAAATCATTCAAAATGTCATTCTTATGCCTGATAAAAAAAAAAAAATGATGGTAGTTTTTTTTATTTGTATGATGATATAATTTATCAAATAATTTTTTTGATATAGCTTGAAATGAACAATCAAATTGATGTCCAAAAAGAGCTTTATCAATTAAAAAACAAGAAAAAATTAATAATAGCTTGTTAGAATTTATACAAATGTCTAAAATAATGAGTGTCCAAAATAATTACGAGTATTTGAATAAATATTCGAAATTCGTAATTTTGGATTTACGAATATTCGAATAGGGCGTTAGAATTACGGTTAGGAACCCTACATCTGTGTATGTTTCTGCTCCGAAATATTCCAAGTCATCAAAACAAAAGATAATATCGATGTTGTGTCCTGATTGTTTTTTTTTCTCACTCTTCTCTGGACAAATTCTTACGCACAATTGATGCCAAAGATATTTCTTCACAACTGGGATTACAGAATAAAGAATTAAAATAAAATATTGAAACACAAAGCTACTATTACATTAAATCCTACCAGAAAACTTCATACTCACTGATGAACTTGGATTTCCTCACATGGTAAGGAGACAATCATTAATTAATGGAACCAAAAGGTGGCAATTCAGCCAACTTTCAGAATTTCTATTGAGAAGTGGATTCCATGGAGCTTCAAAAAAGATAATCTAGTAAAAAGAATGGAAGGTAAATTATTATGAATGTTGGATATAAGTCTTATGTAAGCTTTCAATAGATAATGTAAAATGCTAGATATAGAAATTAAAAAGAAAATATTAGGGGTGTTCAAAGTTGTTCCTGTTCCTTGTTGTACAATACCTTATTAGGTAAGGAAATAAGAATCAACTTTGAGCAGAAATTTCCTAGTTGTTTCCATAACTTCTATATTTGGGATGATCTACATAATAAAATTTACGCGTTTTTTAACAAAGATGTCAACTCGTGAAAGAATTGAAGAGGCATTGTTTCTAAATCTATTCCAAGAAATAACTGAATTGGATGAATTTGATGAAAGTTTTTTTGTTTCACGTCATTATTATTAGTAGAAGTTACCTGAACCGGATAAATGTTTTGAACTGGACGAGGCTGTTGTAGATTATTAGTAGAAGCTATTTTATGATATTCTTGTTTTCTTGTTTTCATTTTTTATTTTTATTTTTTATTTTTTATTTTTATTTTTTTTTTCCAAATTTGGAAATGCAGTCAGGGAGATTTCCAAATTTGGAAATCAATTCTAGAAATTTTGTTGATCAATTCATATACACTACAAATGAGTTTAGAAAACACTCCCCCGTTATGTTATGTCGCGTCTTTTTATATAAAACTTTAAAAAATAACTGTTAAATAATACTCTTTTGGATATATAGTTTCATAATCCCTGCTCATCCCCAAAGCTTTACAAAGTAGTTTTTTCAGAAATAAAACTTGAAATTGCGATTATTTTTTTTTTTTTTTCATAGAATCATATGTATATAAATTATAATGACAAATACAACACTCAAATCAAAAGATTTACCATGCTTATTTGAAAATCTTGTTGAGAGATATCAAAATACTCTTTTAGTTCAGTGTGAAACTAAGGAGAATCAGAAACAGCATTTTGCATCAGGAGAAAAATCAACTGAAAGAGCAAAACTTTTGGCTAAGTATTATTTTCATTAATTATTTAGAAAATTATTCTATTTGAAAAACATGATAATCAACTTGTTGCTAATAATTATTTTATTGAGCATTTAAAAAAGATAGATAATTCAAGGTCATCATATATCATAGAAGAAAATGAATAAGAAAATTCATTATATATCATCCATTAATTCCATTTATATGAACGTAAGAAATTTCAAATTTATTATATATATCCATTAATTATAGATGTAGGAAAATTCAAATTATTTTACTTTCTCAATATTATATATATATTCATCCATTAATTCCATTTATTATGAACATAAGAAATTTCAAATTTATTATATATATCCATTAATTATAGATGTAGGAAAATTCAAATTTATTTTACTTTCTCAATATTTTATATATATATTCATCCATTAATTCCATTTATTATGAACATAAGAAAATTCAAATTTATTTTACTTTCTCAATATTATATATATATATTCATACATTAATTAAATTTATTATGAACATAAGAAAATTCAAATTTATTTTACTTTCTCAATATTATATATATATTCATCCATTAATTCCATTTATTATGAACATAAGAAAATTCAAATTTATTTTACTTTCTCAATATT